CTGCATCTGTCCATTTACTTGCGAGTGCTTGGGTATCCGCAGACTGCGGTTGTGCTGCTTCGTTTTTTAACTACGGAAGATCAGCTGGCTTTTGCTCGCACTGGCCCCCGCTTGAATTTTACCTGGTCAGCTTGTGCTGCCCTACAAGATGAGCGACCTGGTCCCGCAGCCTTCATCCCTTCGAGGGGGTGACTCCGATGAAGGGACCCAGGTGTTGGTTCCCTCTGAGCCCGGTGACCGGGGTTCTGAAGAAAGTTTTGATGCTTTTGGTTTGCTTCGGAACGGACCGAACGAGACTTCCCCAGACTTCGAGGCCGACACAGATTTTGCCGAGGAAGCTAGTTGGTATCGTGCTGTTGAGGATGTCTTGGCTGATTCTCCTTCTAGAATTGCAGGCCTGCCCGGCGACCTTGCTTTCCCTGAGGACGGGGTTGGCTCCATGGCTTCGGGTGATGAAGGGATACAAGGCAGACCTTCTGTACAAGATGAGCCTCTGCCTACATTACCGGCCGTAAGGTTCCAGGGCCCTGGTTCTGTGGATCCTCAAATAAATGCATGGCAGGTGGATGCGCTTCTTTTTGATGTCAAGAGAAGAAGGCTCAACAGACCCCGGCAACCTTGGGAGAGGGGCCCTTTCTCCTTGAAGATGCCAACAACAGAGTCGGTTTTCGATTTCTTGGACAGATCAAGGGCTAGCATTGGTTTGGCTGATGTGCTGAATCCGCCCCTGAATACACCTTTGGGTGCGAGCGATCCTGAACCCCCGCTGGCCTGGGTGGTGGTGTCTCGTCTTCGACACTTCAGGGTAGAAAGGTCTGATGAAGATCTTAGAGTGCATGCTATGGCGCGCATTAGAACCTTGGTGATGATTGACCCTCTGGCTTCGAAGTTGGGGCGGAGCTTGTCGAACGAGGTCGAAAACCTCGCCACTGAAGAGGAGATCTCGAAGTCTTTTTCACATGCTTTTGCTGCCAAGGCTGCGAGTACGATTCACAAGAGATCCGGGTCACTTTGCAAGTTTGGCAGTTGGTGCATGCGGCAAGGAATATCCCCTCTTCGTTTTGAAGAGGTTCATCTATACAGGTACATGTGCGAGCTTGAAGAGAAGGCTGGTGCCACCTCAGGAAGTCATCTGATAGAGGCTCTGCGGTTCTTAGACTCAGCTGTCAGTCTGGTGCACATATCCGTGGAGGACGTTTTGTCATCCCGGTGCAAGGGCTTAGCTCAATCGATGCATTCTTCCAAAGCGCCGCTGAAGCAAAAGAAGGCCCTAACTCGAGAACAGGTCGAGGATCTGGAAACTTTCGTGATCAGAGCTTCGAGTCGTCATGCGTGCATCGCCGGCCAACTGGTTTGGTGTCTGCACACAGGTTCGAGATGGCGTGACTCTCAGACTCTTCGTCATGTGGAGCTGGAAGTGGATGAGGCCTCGGGCGAGACTTTGATTTTCGGAGAAGCTTTGACATCAAAGACTACTTTGACGGCGAAAGCTAAGACCACTCTACTCCCTTACATTGGGGTGGGACTTGGGCTGTCAGGAAAGCCGTGGGCAAAGGCATGGATCGAAGCTCGTCAGAAGGAGGGACTCACGGGGTCAGATCCTTTCCTCCCTACCTTTTGTGAGAGGAAGGGAACCTGGGGGTCACAGAGGATGTCGGCTTCTGAGGCGAGCATTTATCTTAGAGAGTTTCTTCAAAGCATGAACAAAGACTATGGTGACATGCTGGATTTGGGGACACATTCAATGAAGAGGACCTTGTTGACTTGGGCTGGAAAATCCCATCCGGTGGTTTTTACACATCCAGAGAGAAGACTCTTGGGTCACCACTTGGATCAGGAGAACAAATCAGTGGTGGTCTATAGTAAAGACTCGTACGTGGCCCTGTACGGGAAGGTCTTGGGAATGCTGGAAACAATCCGATCTGGGATTTTCGACCCGGACATGAAGGCTGTCTTGAGGATGAAGGCCATTGCGAAGAGAATGGCCCCAGCTAGCCCTGACAATGACATGGATGAACCACCTCAGGCTTCAAGGAGGCCTCGACACATGGTGGCGCCGGAACCTGAGGGAGCCGATTCTGAGGTTGGCAGTTTGAGTTCAGGGTCAGAAGCGCCGGATGACGGGCTGCATGTTCCAGGCGGTCCACGAGTAAGATCGCCCTTTGAGGGCGTTGATCTTAAAGCTTGTTGGACCCACAAGATCTCTGGCATTACACATGTCGTAAGAGATGAATCGAGCTTGATGTGCGGTCGTTACCTGTCCTCCAATTTTGTTCGCACAGAGGAGGCAGGGATCGCAGGAGCAAATCCAGAGTGTTGCCATCAGTGCAAACGTTGTCTGGACACCCGCTGAGCTCGAGATCTAAAAGAACACGTGATCGTCCCGCGGAAGGACCTCCGTGACACGCTGGCCAGGTTTGGCGTCAACAGCGTGGGAGATTCCTTCGTGTCGCGGTCCAGCACTTTGCCATTGAATCTTGATGAGGCGATGCAAGCAGCTGGGTTAATCATTGTGCAGCCGGTGCTCAAGCAAATCAGGGAATTGCAGTTCTGAGTCATGTGTCTTGATTTGTTGGCTTTTGTCACGGCAACAATTTCCCGGAGGATTGGACCACTTCGCACATGAACTGAGTTTTGATAACATCAACATCTTTAGTTCAAGATGGCGGCTGCATCGTTAGATTCGGAAGCTTCCTTCCAGGAGAGAGCGCTGAAGATCGGGGTGTCCACATCAGTGCTCCGAGAGTTGACTGATGCGGGGTACACGACTTTTGGAAAGCTGTGCTTTGCTGTGTCGGCCAATCCGACGCAGATGGATGATGGAGCAGTTGACACGTGGATTCGAAGCGTCTTGTCTGAGGCCCCGACTCCGTATCAGACTTCATGTCTTAGACGACTTCTCTTCGAGGCCAACTCACTTAACATAGCAGATCTTCATGCCCGAGTTGAACCCCCCTCTGACAACGTGGTACGCCGGTTACCTGCAGCCGAGCGTGCAGCCAGGTCCCAGGCTCAACAGGCCAGGCTCACGGGGGTGGTTTTCGCTCCGGACACCACTCCGGCTAATGGGTTAGTTGATCTTTTTGTGGGTCAGTTGGAGACGGAGATCTTGCAATACGTTGGACCCGAGAGATGTGTTTCGAGAGCCCAGGAGATGATGTCGGTGAAGGTCGATAAGACCATTAACATTGACCAAGAAGGCCGCATGCGAGTAGCATCAAAGCCCGCTGAGCTCAGGTGTGAAACCAGCTCCGATGCCAAATTAAGGTCTGCGTGGAACCGCCGATCGCTTGCTATGGACTTAGCAGGCCTGTGCTCTTACATTCAGGTAGAAAAGTGGGTGCAGCACCTCTTTTCTCTGCAAGCCCGAGAGGTCCCAAAAGGAATGTCACCCATCAGCATTAACCAGCTTATCCAATCGGATCGTGCGCTGTTCATGTATGCTTCTGAGAAGTTAATGGGTAAGTTAGCGGTACCGGCAGGGGCTCCCAAGCCTTTGGATGCCGTCATCCAGGATCTTATGCATTCCCCGGAAGTCATGCAGTTCATGCAGCCTGTGCCTCGTCCGCCTGAGCCAGTTGTTCCTTGGACCCCGAGGGGTGAACCGTGGACTCCCAAAGGGAAAGGCAAGAAGGGCAAAGATGGGAAAGGAAAGAACGGTAAAGGCGATGGCCAGCCCTCGAAACCTGACATTCCAGAGGGATGCGTATCTCGTACAGCCGAAAACAAGCCCATATGTTATGGGTACAATCGCGGCACATGTCGTTGGAAAGGAAAGTCAGGCCGATGCCAGCGCGGGATGCACATTTGCTGGAAGGAAGGTTGTGGAAGGGCCAAGCCCTTCTACGAATGCACCCATAGTGGTTGAATGCCGCGGCGTGCGGCTTCTCCTGCTTCAGCCGCACCAGCCGATGTAAACGTTGAGCAGGATGCTTCCACTGCCACCGTTGGTGGCACCCAGGAGGCTGCAGGTGCCAATGAGTTGGCTAAAGATTTCTTGTCACAAGGCCGGGTTACGCGCCATCAGTTGACACAGGTTTTTGCAGCTTTGCCAAATTCCCAAGGCAGAAGGCAAGGTGATCAATTTTCCAAGTCATTTGTGTGTGGAGCTTACGTTTTCTCTGGGATTTCGGGCGTGTGTGGAACCACCCGCGACTTTGCAGATTGCGTGCGAGCTTTCACTTCTTTCATTCATGAATCTGTACCGGACCACTCTTACACTTCCATTGCTCTGTTCTCTCAGGTCGAAGCCCCGGTGCACCAGGACTCCCACAATCTTGCAGGAAGCCTCAACGCCGTGTTTGCGTTGTCTTCTTTCTCAGGTGGAGGCATCGTAGTGGAGGACCCTGAGGGTCCTCAGAGGGCATCTTTCCGGGGGAAAATTGTACATGGCCGTGTTGTTCCCTTTGTTGAGAATGTCATCCTTTTCGATGCTCAGTCCCAGAAGCATTGGACCCAACCATGGACCGGATCCCGACAGGTCATGGTCGCCTACAGCGTGCCCATGAAGGGTCTCTCTAAGGAGGATGGGGTTTTTCTTAGGGACTTGGGTTTTCCTCTTCCTGGGTCCTCCCCGGTTCCTCGTTCGGTTCCTGACCTTAAGCCCTGGGTTTTTGAGGTCTTCGCGGGCTCTGCGTCGTTATCCAAAGCTTGGCATCGTGCTGGCTTCCAGGTGCTCAGCTTCGACTGGAAGGTCAGAAACGTTCAGGTTCCCATTGTGCCGCTTGACCTTTCGCAGGCTACGGGGATTCGAATCTTTTGGGATCTTCTTTTCAAGGTTAAGCCTGTGGCCGTTCACTTCGGATTGCCTTGTGATACTGCATCTCGTGCTCGAGAGCGAAGCCTCCCTCTCAAATTGACTCACCAAGGAGCCGTTGCACCCCAACCATTGCGTGATGCATTGCATCCTTTAGGATTGCCGGGCATCTCTGAGACCTCCCATGAAGGTTTGCGGCTCCAACAGGCCAACAAACTTTACGAGTTCACTTTGGATGTCGCTCTGCATTGTATCGATCAAGAAGTCGTTGTATCCCTCGAAAATCCTTCTCGGTCGTGGACATGGGCAGCCCTTGTGCACTTTCTTCGAAAGCGTGCCTGCGCCGAGGCTAGCCGTTCTTACAACAAGTTGCAGGCTGTCCAGTTCCATGTATGCATGCATGGGGGCTCTCGCCCTAAGGAGCTCCGATTGCTTGCATCTCCAGGTGTCTATGAATCCTTGCAGTTGTCGTGCGACAATTCACATGCCCACGAGCCTTGGATGCCTTTCACCAGAACGGCGTCGCTGCGCGAGAGTTCCTACCCCAACTTGTTGGCTGCGCGTATGGCCCGCTGCCTTGTGCATTATCTCCGTGCCAAAGGATTGTCATGGTCGGCTCGTTGTCCGTTGACCCTCACTTCTGCATCGGCCGTAGCTCGCCAATCCCGCAAGCATGCACCTCTCATCCCCGAGTTTCAGCGTGTCTGCAAGGTCCCCGCTGATTGCATTACCAAGGCTATGAAGGTCTTGCAAGAAGTCTCTTTCAAAGGGGAGAATGCGGGAGACTCAGAAAATGATGTAGAAGGTTTTACCAACGAGGAGCCCGAACCCGCCTTGGGGTACCCTAGTTCTCTGGCCTCGGGTTCCGGTTCTACTAGGGATCCTCCTCCTGCAAAAGTTGTCAAAGTGGGCATATACCATGACCCGGCTGCTTTCGTGGAAAAGGCGAAAAAATTGGAACACCCTTTTGAACGCCTGCAGTCTGTGGCCAAGGTCACGGTGGAAGCCATTGACTTCTTGATGACATCTCGCCCCGAACAGGTCGCTTTGCATCGTAAGTTGGCCCTCCTTAAGTTGCAACTTCTTATAAAGAAGACTGAAAAAGAGGAAGCCGAGCTCCATGCCAGGATGAGTCCGTCGGTGGCAAAGGTGATGAAAGACAAGAAGATTGTGGCCCTCAAAACTTTACTTTCGCAGGAGGGCTACGACGATCTTGAAGCCGTGAACTTCTTGAGTGAAGGGGTAAAAGTGTTGGGTTCCGAATCCCATCCAGAGTGCTTTGAGAAGAAGGTCAAACCAGCTTCCTTGACTGAACAAGACCTCCGAGACACAGCCCAGGCCCGTCGTGAGGCCATCGTAGGCGACGATTCGTTGGGTGACCAGGAGAGGGCCTCATGCCTTCTAAAGGTTACTCAGGAAGA